AGATATGAAGATATGCATATATGTAGATATGTAGATATGTAGATATGTAGATATACGCCACCAGTAAACTAAATACCTCTCTTCACACCTGTGTCACCTCCAGGAAGTGAGTGTTGAGCTGCATGTTTCCCTTTTTATAGCAAGGGGTTAATTCATACGACCAAAGAGAAGAGGTCGGGTTCCTGCATTAACAGTTCATTTCAGCCGTCTGCTCGTTTAATATTTTGACGACTGTGGACAAAATGTATGAAGGAATCTTTTGGTTTAATGCAATTCAATACAACAACACCACAAACCAAAAAGCCACAGAGTTCAATCCGCTCTTTGTTGAGAATCAAACATGAAAATATTCAGAATTATCCGACATTTCTTTGCGGATATTTTAATAACCATATAACATTAAAGATGTGGACCTCCAGTTTAACTCGCTTGTAAATCGAGATCTTGACATTTACGGCTCACGGTGCTGTTAATGAGGAGGGGTGAAGAGGTCGCGTCTTGTGACCGGCCGTTGATAATGAATCTGAATCGTGTTGGCAGCCATGACGGACCTCAAATGAAATGTCAAATTCCAGCGGAGCCATGTGGGGAGCTGGAAACAGAGGAAGGACCGAGACAACGGAGATTCTTGTTATCGCTCTACAACACTACTGATGGCAAAAATAGTTACTAGTGCTTTACTGACAACAATCACAACTCTCTTAAAGACTTGACCCCCACTGGCATTATATAGGCACTGAATGGTGATTATGATGTTATGATCTTTAGTTATAATTATCTAAAAACCTGCATGTGGGCAAAATTAAGAATTCAATTTGCAACAATAATGTCCGTAGTGTGAAAAACAAAATGTTCCGGGATTAAAAGTAGTAACAAAACATTGATTTAAACTCCTAAAAAAGTGTTTTGTAATATTAATAGATTGTAAAGTCGAGCTGCAAGCTAAAAACAACCAGAATAGACTGAAGCTAACGAGTCTAATAAAGAACAATGTGTCGCTAATTGGCTCTGAGTGATTGGGAGGAAATGAGGTAATTGGTAGGAACACCTATTTAAAAATAAAGGCAGGTTCACAATGCATTGTGGGTCCCCGCTCACTGAGAGCAGAGAGCTTGAGGGAGGAAAGAAACAGAACGAAAGGAATCTTCTAATTACAAGATAATTCTAATTATTGTTAAGGTATTTTGTTTGTGTAGTTTGTTTTATATATTTATATTTAAATTAGAATTAAAGAAGGTGATATAAAGAAGGTTATATCATGAAAATAAATCAGTGATTTGCTGTAAATGAGCAGAATGTAAATGATAACCTGAATAAAGGCTGTAAACTCACATTAAGCCTGTTTAGGTTCTATCCACACACGGCTCATGAGCTACAACGTCTGCTCAGCCACAACAGACCGACAGTGAAGGCAGCACAGGGAGTGGAAAATGTGCATGCACATACAAAATACAACTTCTCTTTCTCTCTTTCTCTCCCCACAGAGTGATTTCTTGGACTTTTACGTTTCCTACCTGAAGGAGCTTCCGGACTGTCTGTCAGTCGTCTCCATGCTCAACTCCAGCTCCATGAAACCTTCTGCATTCCTGGAGGTAACACAAAAAGAGACAGGAAGTGATGTAACAGTGCACAGCATTAGATAATGTAACAGGACAGGATGTGATAAAGGGATGAAAGGATACAGAAGAAGGACATTTATTATTATCAGAGAAATTCCTAGACAGCTAGCTTATAACTAGCTAGCAGCCGCTGTGTTTCTTATACCTGCTGTGCTAAATGGTTTTTGTCCTTCCATCCTGATTGGTCGACCATTGCTGCTCCGATTGGCTGCAGAGTGAAATAATGGGCGATGAATCCAGACCCTCCCTCCACACTCTGCTCCTTCAGCCGGTTCAGAGGATCCCCGAGTACCTGCTGCTGCTTCAGGTTAGACAACTACGACTTTGTGTAGCGCATTTCATACATGTAGTTCAAACATGTGCGCACATAATAAGTATATATCTGTGTGTGTGTGTGTGTGTGTGTGCAGGAGCTGCTGAGGCAGACCAATGCAGAGCACCCAGACTACTATCTGCTGCTGGTTTGCATCCAGCAGTTCAGGTCCTTCATGGCTCAGTACCACCACCTCCTCCAGCACAACCAGGAGCTTCTGCTGCACAACCACAAGGAGGTGAAGAGGTCAGGATTTACCACTCTACAGAAAGATAACATCACATGCATCGCTTATTCTCACTGTTTGTACCTGACAACATAAGGTGTTCATGTGCGCTGCAGGTCTACCATGACGCAGCTGTTAAAGACAGTGGAAAGCGGGATTCAAGCGAACAACATTGGCTCACCGTACCCATGCAACAGTGCCATGTTGTGAGTATCTTAGCATTCTTAACTTCCTATTTGTTGATGAATCCTCTTATATGAATTGTCCATCCCTCACAGAGAACATGCCAACCAGGTGAAGCGGAGCAAGCAGCGTCTCCTGGAGCAGATCCAGTCCCGTCGTTTCCAGGATTGGGACCAGGAGCCCGGAACTCATTGTTACGAGTCAGAGTGGCCCTCCCAGCTCCCGTTTTTCAGCCCAGACCTGGATTCACGAAACCACAAACCAACAGGTCTGTGGTCACGGAAGCTTCTGATTAAACCCTTTCTGTGGTTTCTGTTTGATTAGACTATGCACTTTTGGGCATCAAGAGGAATGCTGGGAGTTTTATGAGGTGGATCTTGGGAGGCATCAGTATGCTTGAAATTAAAGTGCTTGTCAGATTGTCGAATGGCATTTGAAAACAAACTTTCTGAAGCTCCCAATCCAATCAGCACACCCAGTGTGCGTCAGCAATTTGCAGGTGTCTGAAGGTGAGAAAGGAGGCAAGCTCTCTTTTTGAGATGTTCAGAAAACACTGCATATAAAGGACTTCTTATGAAGCACACTGAACCCTTTTGAGAAGAAGTGGGATAGGATAGAGTTTAAATATCTTTTGCCAAAGTCGAACCCCTCTTGAAATAAGACCCTTAAGTTCAAGGCACCGGCCTCTTGGGTCAACAAGACACCCAGGTATCTGTCCCATGTCATATCTGTGAGCCTTTTAGTCTTAGTTTGCAATAATCTTTAATAATGTTACTTTGTGTATCCCATGTAGGGATTCGGCAGAAACAGACATACAACCCATGTCACTTAAATGCTTTTGGGGCACTTGCCCTATCGGTCAACCAGTCAACCAACCTTTGGCTTTCAGGTCTTGGCAGTATCCCAGAGAGTGAGGCGTCTGAGATGGCCATGTCGTGCCAGCATCATCTGCCCTCCAGACCGGCAGACTTCCGTCAGGTTCAACCGGGCTCCGCTCTGGCCGACGCCCTCGGAGAGTTCCTTCTCCCTCCAGACCCTCCAGGGATGGAGAGCCTCTACGAAGAGGACAGAGGCTCCCCTCACGATGTCCCCATGTTCGACCGCTGCTCCTCCGCCTCTTCAGATTCCTCCATCGACATTGCCTTTGTGAAGTGCCCTAAAGCGCCCTCGGTGTCCCATCACGCGACGGCAGTGAACGTGTCAACAGCGCGCGATGTCTTTGGCAACGGTGGAAGCCACGGGAACGGTTACCAGCTGCCCAACAGAGGATGCGTATCTCCGGATGAAGCTGTGATGATGCGCCGCAATCAGCATCGCCCCCTTCAGGCCAGCCAGCGTAAGAGCAAGGTGAGCCTGTTCACTCTTATAAACTTATTTTGGGTTCCTACAGCTGTAGTAAACCAATCGACATGTGGCTTGCTAGATACAGTGAATACAACTTGATGATGTTATGAATCGCAAATGACGCGAATAAACACAAATCATCCTGCGATCAAACTCCCGCGACCACAGCATTAGAAGGTGGAAAGGTTCTGGGTGAAACCATTACACCACAGAAGAGTTGTGTAGAAGCTCTGATATGGGGGTTCTGGATGGAACCCTTCACCGATGGTTCTAGGTCTAACCCTTTATGTTGGGTTCTAGGTATAAGCCTCTGAAAGGGTTGCAGAACCTAAAATGGTTCTCGTAAATGGAGACAAGCAGAAGAAACCTATATGGTATATAGTTGAAATAATTTTTACATGTGTTTAAATAAACAATATACGTCTTCTCTGCTGTGTAGTCACTGAACGGCCTGCAGATGGACAACACAGTGAGCGGTCTGGAGGGTGGTCCTCTATCAGACCACCTCCAGAGGTTGGGACTGGGCAGCCACGCCAAGCTGGAGCGCCAGGGCAGTAAAGGCAGCAAAGGGTGTCCCACCCCGTCCCGTAAGGTCCACAACCCCCTGGGGAACCGGGTGGACATCGACAAACAGGGCGATGATCTTCATGGGCTGCTCAGCATTGTGGGTTGTCAACAGATCAATATATCTTTACCTTCAAACTGTCTGTACCGACGTTCAGTGTCAATACAGACACACCGTAGATGGTACCAAATGTGATCAAACCGTAGTTGAAATAATATTGTGTTTGACCCCACCAGGACTCGGGTTTCCAATCATGGGGGGAGGAGTCAAAGTGGAGGGGCGGGGCAGAGGAGACTAACCACACCCCCTTCAGCGAGAGGAGTCGGAAGCAGGTCAAAGGAGGCTTCAGGAGCTCCTTCAAGAAACTCTTCAAGAAGAAGTAAGGACTGGAAATATGCAAATGAATGACATGATAGGCGGAAGGACATGGAAGAATCAAACTCTCACCTCCTGCTTTTTCTTTCCAACAGGAGCAGTGACGAGAAGAGAGCGAAAGGAGGCGAGAAGACACCAGAAAAACAAAACAATGGTGAACATGAGACACCGGGGAGAAATCCCAAACTGGCCCATCTGGAGATAAACCGTGGCACAGCTGTATGAACACCAATATATCACACAGGCGCAGCTGTATGAACACCCCGATATCACACAGGCACAGCTGTATGAACACCAATATATCACACAGAAACAGCTGTATGAACACCCCGATATCACACAGGCACAGCTGTATGAACACCAATATATCACACAGGCGCAGCTGTATGAACACCAATATATCACACAGGCACAGCTGTATGAACACCAATATATCACACAGGCACAGCTGTATGAACACCAATATATCACACAGGCACAGCTGTATGAACACCAATATATAAACACAACATGAGGCTGTCTTACATATAATACGTGCCACTCGGTGTAGTTTAACTTTATTTACTGTAAATAGCTCTACCTCCAGTTTATAAAAGCTTTTCAGATATTGAACTACTTTCTTTAACTTGTTACACTATTTTGTCAGGTTTGGTACCCAACTTTCAAATCTATCTTTTGAATTGGTTAAAGTGTAATATTAAAAGGTGGTTTCTTCTTCTTGGGAAACAGTTCTCTGAACACGAGCACCTACATTTCACCGATTTAAGTTTATTTTTTTATGTCTTTCACTGCCGTTCTACTTTCTGCTAAATGTCTTAAGCCATAACCAGAAATGATTATATTGTGCATATACTCAGGAGAACCAACACTCAACTGTTATCAGTTGAATGTTTGAGCAATTTGTTGAAACATTTAATGTTTTTCTTTGTGACAAATATTTCTATGCATTGAGATAAACGTGACAATCAAGAAGATTCAATAAAGGTCAACGCTGAAAGTTAAGCTTTTTCTTTTGAATTCCTGAATGCTTTGTCACTTATTAAACAATCCTGAGATGGAAAGAAAAGCTGCTCACGAGGGTCGAAGCCAGACGACAACGTCCGATTCTGAAGTGTGAAGCCAATGCTTCATGTGTGAAAGCTGCATTCTCTCTAGTGTCCACCAGGGGGCGACTCCTCTGGTT